GTGCTGGACAGGGGGAGCAGTCACGGAGGTAGCAAAGCACAAAGGCAGGACCTACTCGGAAGTAATACCTGTATGATGGGGGGCAGGGGGACAGGGGTGAGTCCAAGGGGATCAGAGAAGGAAGGAAATCATGTCTGGTGCTCCCGCCTCTGTCCCTGCCCCATAGAGGCTGGCAAGAGACAGCACAAAGCCTGAGAGCTGGGGGCTCCAGGTCAGGACATCCTGGCCCCTGCGATGCTGCCCCTGGGCCATAGAGCTGTCCCCGCTGCAAGCCTACCCTCCTGGGCCATAGAGCTGTCCTCGCTGCAAGCCTACCCTCCTGCACTGGCACGCCTCCTTCCTCTGACCCTGCCTGCAGCCACACAGGGCACGGCCCCCTCCTCCATGTATGCGTGCCTCCCTCAAAGGGGACCCCTCTCCCACAGGGAGCCCAACAGCTTACCCCTAGGCAAGCTCCCCTCCAACTGCCTCTTCCCCAAAGGATGGCCAGAGGAGCAGCTGGGTCTCGAGGCTACAATCCAATCAGGCTCCTGTCCTCTCCCAAGATGGCTTTCCCCTTTCCACTGGCTGGCACTGAGGCTTCCCTGGAGTACCCCTGCCCCTCCCCCAGCCCATAAATGCATCTGGGCTCAGAAAGCCAGGGAAGTAGAAGACAGCGGCCTGGGGTGGGCCAGGTCAGAGCCCCAGCCCATAGCACTACCCTTGCACCAGCAGGGGTCACCACCAGCACCCTCCATGCTGATCCAGGTAAAGGGGGGCAACAGCTGCCCCATGGAGAACTCAGATCTCAGGTCACCTGCTCAGTTCCTCACCCCAGATTGGCTGTGCCCTACAGGGAACTGCTGGCACCACAGGAAGAACTGTGAGCCCAGGGTCACACTCCTTGCCCTGGGGCCAGCTCCAGGAAGGGCAGTGGAGGAGACCCAGGAGGGAAAGCTGCCACTGGCCCAGAGTCCTCAGTCCTGCTCAGTAAGGCAGGTACCCTCGTGAAAGGGTAAAACGAAGAGTAACAAAGCAAACTCTAGGAGCCTGGGGAGCTCCCCAGTGATCATGGCCTGGGAATGGGTTCCTCTGCTATACCCCAGGGACGGGGTGGGGACGCCTCAAAGTGGCAGTCTCTTGTCACTCCATCAGACCTCACCTCGCATCCCTTCCCGCACTGGAGCACGCACACAGCTGCTCCTAGCCTGCCCCCAGCCTGTCCACCGGCCGCTGCATGCCTTAGGCGCACACTCTGTGATTCCTGGGGGTCCCCCACAGCTGTCCTCCCGACCGCTAGCCAGAAGCCCAGACGCACCTAGCAGCCCCTGGAAGCCCCAGTCGGCGTCCCCTGCCCCCCTCCCCAGCCGGACGCCCCCACCTTCCAGCCGGCCGAGCTGTTGCTGTCGCCTTTATCCTTGAAGTAGGGCACGTAACGGACCATCCAGTCGTAGATCTGCGAGAGCGTGAGCCGCTTGTCCGGGGCGCTCTCGATGGCTTTGGTGATGAGGTCGGCGTAGGACAGGTTCCCCCACGCGTTCCGCCGGGAGCTCTTCGCTTTCCGCAGCGGTCCGACCTCCGCACCCAGCGGCGGTGCTGGGGCCATCGCCGGAGCGGTCGCCCGGCGTTCCGGCCCGCAGTCCTCGGCGCCCTCAGCTACCCCTGCGCCCAGCACTCCGTCCTCGTCGCCGGTCAAGTCGGGCTGCGGCAGGGGCCAGGTGCACGAGCGCGGCCGGCTCTGCGGCGCGAAGTCCGGGTCCACGTCCACCTGATGCGCTCGCAGCTTCGCAGCCATGGTCCCGCCCGGCTCGGGCGAGGAGGGGAGGGAGGCTCCGCGGAGGGTGGGCGGGCGGCTCGGAAATCTGCGCGCCCCGGGGAGGCCCGCGGGAGGGGTCCCTGGCGGCGCCGGCTCAACCGCGGGGCGCCATGGGCCGGGGCGCGGAGGCAGGGGGCTGGACGCGCTGGGGAGCACGAGGAAGGGATAG